AAAATTTAGCATAACATACTATGAGTATAAGAAATACTCAGTAAGATACCATGCTTGGATTTTTATCATGATAATACCACACAAAAGAATACAATCAAACCCATACTTGCATATTCCGGCTTGCCGGTGCCCTTCGGACTTGTCCTAAGGCATAAATAGATATCTAACTTTGTGGACTTGTCCACCATAATCATATTATGGTTTTTCATGCATATTTTAAGCATAAATATTACCATGAAAATCATAACTCTTAAGCATGAAAGTATCTTACCGTAAAACTTGATGATCTTTGTTTGAAATGAATTGAAAGTGCTAAACTTTCTTCCTTCTTCTTTCTTTTCTTGATTTCGGTTTTTGCTCTCTTTTTAAGTTTATAAGTGTTTTGTAAAATGAAGGAAATATCTCTATGGCAATGGATATGGATGTATTTATACTTATATAAAGATAAGGATAAAAGCTTGATATTATTTTTTTTTTCTTTCCTTTTCTCTTCCCACCGCCTCACCCCTTCTTTTCTCCCATTTTTTTTTTTTTTTAATATTTGTACACTTGTTTAATCTATGATCCAAATGTATGGTGGTGATGGATAACAAGTGGGGTTGATTATATGTAATTAGTAGCCTAAAAACCTATATTTGCAAAGGAAATCTCTAATCTTCCAACTAATATAATCCAACCCTCTATCTTTCATTATTAGCAAATATATCCCAAATCTAAACTTATATCCAACTTACATATCCAAAAATTGTAGATCGTAAATTAATTTAATCATTTGGTCAATTGAAGTCCTAACAAAATAATCGACCACATTCAATTTCAAACTTGACTTAAGTTTCGACTAATTAATAATCACTTCATGTATACGCAACATTTAACACCTCATGCTTCTAGTCATTAGCTATCTCTAACATTAACCACTACAAAAGTGGTGTCCCCTTTTCTTATGGCCAAAAAATAGTATTTAAAGTTAAATCGCCGTCTTAAAGAAATTTAAATCAGCATAAAATTTCGGAGTATTACAAAACCATTGCCCATATCAAATACTACTCTGGATCAAACTTTGAAGCGTCATTCTGTCAGAATTACATATTTTTCACTAAAAGAAGTGCAGGACTCAATAATCAATATGCACAAGGTAATGATGTGTATACAGTTATTCTCTTGTTTCCATAGAAAACTTGAATTAGTACCTTCAAGTTAATCATCTTATGTCTGATATGTTGTGCAAGTAAAATTCACTACCTAATTAGAAGAAAAATTATCCAAGAATTGGCATTACCAAGTTCAGTGAAACCAGTCTCGATTTTTGCCTGGAGTAAGAGAGTATTCACGACTTTCTCTCTGGCTCATGTAAAGCTGAAGACACCTTTCTATAAGATTTTGAACCTGATATTAGAGAAGAGCATAAATTTAGCACCATGACGACAGATATTTAAAAATATAAACTGAAAAAAGAGGGGGAGGGAGAGCTACTATTGCTTCCACTGGGAAGATTTTAAGTCAAGATTGCCAGAAATGCAATGACCTAAACCTAATGAGAAAAAACCGTCCTTAGTTCAAAGATCATGGACGATTAAATTTTTGCACGTCATTTTTCCAAAAACCTATGAGCTCAAATTGAAAACTTCTAAAAAATTTAACGTTTTGAAAAACAAAATATGGTTATATACTTATCGCCTATATTTTCAATGAAAGAACCAAGTCATGCGTCCAATGGCTTGCATACTTCAAAATATATGTGCACAAAAATAGCTAATTAAAGAGAAGGTGCTACACAGAGAAACAACATCCTCAAATGCTGACCTTCCAAATCCCCATTGCATTGTAAAGGAGTCCTATTTACCATCTGGTATTTTATTCTCTTTTTTATCCCATAAACAGCTCTCTGTTCTTCAGCACTCTGTATAAGCTTTTAATACTGGGGGAATCTTGAGAACAGATATTTAAGAAAGATTTGTCAAATTAAAGTTTACTGTGAAGTTTTCTTGATTAAAGAAAACAGGGTCGGATGACTTGCTTAGGTAATAAAGGTTTATTAATGCTCTCAGATTGGTGACTTATGATTTGTCGAGTCAGGAATGGCATAAGGTACCCGGTTGCGTGTTGCCACGTGGAATAAAGAGGCAATGGATTGCGTGTGGATATGAAATAAATTATTTTGTCGAGTTAGATGACTTGCTTAGGTAATAAATTTTTTTGTTTCATATTTGCATATGAAATATCAGTAGCAGTCTAACAGACGCTTGTACGTAATTGAAAAAAAAAATATTTACGTAACATCTCATGAATGTGGATTCTTACTAGATCTTTCTCATTCCCTTGTTAATTTGATCAAGTTATTTCATGTGGAAAATTGAAATCATGCTTTTTGTATGTCCTCACATCTGAATTGAAAGGCTTTGCAATGTTCTTACCATCATATAAAACTGTTGTAACGTGTATTGTAATCCATCGTACAAAATTCGAGCATGTAATGTATAAATAATTGCAGGGAGTACTTATCTAAAAATCGTGTTTTGTAATGTGTAATATCCATTATCTAAAAATCATAGTACGAAACATTATCATTTCACAATTGCTAATATAAAAAAATTAGGTAAATTTTCTGATCTTATTCATTGTCAATTTATTGTCTATAATCTCATATTCAGCATTACATTATTTGCTGTGTAACCTGCATCGCCAAATTTCATATCATGGGGTAATATAATTATTTATATAACAATTTCACATCTTAATTATTGTTGATATCTTATTCATATTCGACGGTTATATGTGATTAAGATAATAAGATTGGTAACCTGTGTCTCCAGATTTCATATCATGATCTGTAAAAATGCAGTCCTACGGATTTATCGTATGAGAACAAGTATAACTGTTGATTCCAACATTGTCTGAATTCTGACCAGTACATATGTAATGTAACCAATATTGAAAACCTGATTCTTTACGTTGCAAAGAATGATTTGATAAAGAGATGTTACATTACCCCAACAAGCACAATACAAATGGAACCCCAACAATCATCACAAGTGACGAACCCATACAAAGATGAGGTTGAGCATGAACAGCGAAGTCCACAAGAAGCAATCTGTCCTGATTTGGAACCCCAACAATACCAACCCACCTAATACTACCCCGTCTATACCCCTCTAATATACTATCATAATTTTTTTAATTCATACAGAAAAAATAAGAAAAAGCCGCTCTGGCTGGTTTCTCAGCTGCATCTGTCCCTTTTTCTCTAGTAGAAGTAAAAATAACGCAAAAAGGACAGGAATGGAGTTATCTTACGCCTTGCTGGCAGTCGCAGTGTGGGGTTCGATCCCTGAGATATGAAATTAAACTCTTTGTAAACGCAGTGTATAGACAACTCTTGTTTCCTGACCTGTTGGGGCACATCCCACGATTTACCTTCCTCGCAAAGTTTTAGAACGGGCAATGAAGGCACTCAAAGTTGGGGTTCAACCTTTTTTTTTTTTTTTT